TATAAGTGCACCAGAAATAAACTTATCTCTAAGAAACTATAAGTAAATATGACATCTTACCTTACTTGGAACTCCGCCTAAATTCAAAACTTTATATTGGGAAACCACAGGTATTTCTGTCTGTCTATACTAAGGTGTTCTTATTGATTTAACAAAATCCTATTTATTTCACTAATGTCTTTTTGTGTATTTTTATACGTTGCTTATTATATTTATATTTCACCTACAATTTAAATAATTATTATATTGAATCTTTTTCTCGATTTTCAAAAACACACTTCATGCAAGTTGCATTAAAAATAATTTATATGCAAAGCTAAGCAATGTCTTATTCAGATCTAATAAATTAAACTATATATATTGTAAACTATATATATTGTAAACTATGTATACAGTATGTCTAATTTAAAAATAAAGGTTTTTAAGAATGAAATATTACTTTCCCGAAAAACACACAAATAACAAGTTTTAAACATTTTTGAAATGTTTAAAACTGAATTATCTATACGATTTTAATAAGTAACATTGCGTTTAAAAAAATAAAATAGGAAATACAGTAGGGACTCGACATTTGTAGATATTATATATAGATCATCATTTCATGCATCGGGTATTTTACATATTTATTCCTCATATTGGAAGTAATTTAATATAACTTTACCTTATAAACAAATATAACCATAACCATATTATTGAACAATGAAAAATATGGACGTTTCATAATTTAGACATAACACTTTTTTATATTTATCTAAGTGCTATACTTGACTACTTTTTTACTAACAGATGTGGTCGAGATATAGATGGTATTGAATTGATTTTGTTTAACAAAGATTTTTTTGCTTTGTGCGTGTGCTTTTTTTGATTAAATAATATGCTTATGGGAGCCTTAATAGTCTACGGACTTGACGGACTGTAAGTAAAATATCAGTCAATTTAAAAAAAAAGAAAAAATTCAATATTTAGCCATACCTAGAGGGCAGTAATTAAAAACACGAAGATGTTTTATTGGACTATACAGCGTGTCTTTACAATCGCGACAATAAATGAACACACATATAGAAGATAACTTTTTAAAATTGTATTAAACATTTACTTTCTTTAAAAATCAAAATTTACAGAGTTATTAAATTTTCCAAAACAAAGAATGTTAGAACAACCTTACGTATAAAACTGTAACGTAAAGTTCATTTGTGAAGGTCACAAAGCACAAAGCACAAAATGGGTTGAATGAATTTAAAAGAGACAAAACATAGTGTTAGAAGGAGAGGCTTTGAATGCAACGTTGTGGCAACGAATGAAAAAGTCTGAATGTATGGATCAGTCAGTTGTAGTTAGGTTAGGTTAGGTTAGTATAGGATGTTACAACTTTTGTTTTTTTTTTATTTAATTAGTTTGTTTGAAAAATATTTTCTTTTAATTATGGATTTGTTTAACGTAAAAATATTATTATGATTATTGGCAAGTAGCGTTAGACGTGTATTCGTTTATTGTTGCAATGGTAACGACACGCTGTATAACAAAGAATACTCCTAATACAAAATCCAAATAACATATGCAAGATTAATGTAATTAAGGTACTTTTAAGTTTAAAAACAATTTGTTTAATTTTTTTTATCAAAAGTAGCCAAGAGCTTCTTGTGTGACATTGTGGATTGAAAAATTTTATACGTTCATCAAATAAATCTTAACATTAGAACAGCATTACGTCATGATGTATCCATAATTATATTTTATATCATAACAATAAATAGAGAACTTAAATTATGTTAAGTAATTTTCAACAGGCAATACCCACAATTTGGTAAGATTTGCTTGTAAAGCGAGTGATATGTTTTCAATCTCTCATACCAAAAAATAAATAAAGAAAAACAAGTCAAAAGCTTTTACAAACGTATATTTAAAAAAAATTAAAATAATAGAAAGGAATGATTTCTAATTCATGTAAGGTATAATAAACAAATTTTTAAGTTCAACATAGACATAGTACAATTATATAGGCATTATTCGATAATTAAAAAATTATTTAACCAGCTTGTCTATAAAACATTCACAATCTTCGAATAACAGTTACAAAGTTACAATAATATAATTCCTTGTTGAGCTTTGCCCTTTTCTTTTCAAGTATGTTTCTTGTACCAGTTTTGTGGAAGGTTAATAACAGTGTAATAACAATAATTATGTCATAAGAGAAATTATATTTCAATAGTTTTAGATATTTATGTAAATAGTTTAGTATTATCAATATAATAACAGTGCCATAACTGGAAATAGCTATTTGTTTATATTATTCTTTCTAATATTATATTATAATAATATTATATTAATGTTAATATTATATATAATATATATTATAATATCATATTATATTATAATACAATTTTAATATTATACTATAATATTCATTATATTCCCTTAACGCTTCTCTTAACGAGTTGCTTTAACTTTACGGGAGTTTAAAAGTTTTAACTAGGTTCTTCTAAAAAGCTAAGCATTTTCTCATATTACTACATGTTTTATAATAAAATCTAATTTTACGATATATTATGTAATAAATCACTGGATAACTAATAATATAAATACAGCAAAGGTTGATAACAATTATATAAAGCACAGCCAAGACTTGTGGTTTCTTACATATTATTTTATCATTCATTATAGATATAAATTTAGATAAATTCTATTTTCCAAACGGTTGTCTCTGGTCCGCGTATTAAGCAAAAGGCATATAGAATTGATGACCTAATCGTAACAGTGCATTTATAGAATTACATGTACATTTTGCGTAAACAAAATTCTTCAAATACGTTTTCAGGATATACAAAATTTGTCTTAAATTTTTAGGTGCAAAATTAAAAAAATATCTAACGACCTATTCAATTTTCAAAATTTCATTCAAAAACATATTATAATTTTTAACCACAATTTATATAAATATCTTAATCTAACAAAACTTGATAAACGAAACAAATTTAAAAAAAAAAATACAAATATTCATAAAAGTTTAAATAATTTTCATTCAAAAGTTTGTTAAATAAGTTGATGAAATTATTTTTTTATTCTTAATTTCATATCTAAGAGATTCATCAAAATAGCAATGATAATGTGCTATATTAGCCCGACGCAATGTGACATCGATTTTTGCATGTTATAAAAACTGAAAGCTCTGTGAGCCCTTGCAAGTGCTAATTACCAACTAGGCCATTACTAACTAGTAAAACGACGATAACCATTGCTGCCCTAAAAATGTCCATGAAATTCATATTTTCATTCATATTAGCCCATATTACGTCAATTGAAACGTAACTTTTGTTTATCGTTTAGAATTTGTGATTATCATTTAGTGTGGAGTATATGTCTGCAATTTTTACTTTAATATAGTTAACGTGTATTTAATTAATTAGCAAGATTTTCTATGCCACTAATTTATGTCAGATGCAATATAGATTTAAAAATAAGAGCGCCTTACAAATCAAAAAGAGCTTATGTCAATAGCTTTAAAAGTAATGAAAATAAATAAATTTTAGTTAGAGATTCGCTTTCGCTTCTACTTTTTAGACATGATTCGGGAATGCCCTCATACAAAGTGGTCTTCGTCTTTTATTTAAATGATTGTGTCTCAACATTAACCCTGTGAAACTGTCGTAGCAATGGCCAAACCATTTAATATAAATATCAAGTGAAAGTTACTATTATATTTTAACTTTGAGTATTATAGTTAAAAAGTGGGATGGACAAAATAATTTCTTTTTAAATTAATTAATTCCGTTAAGAGCCTATTTACAGGTGACTTAAAGCAAATGTTTATTTTAATTTTAATAGGACAGAATTGAGTTATGCTGGCAGTTAAATTGTTTTATTTTCAAAAAAATTATTTAATTGAATACATCAGTATCATGAGATCTTATATATTATAGCACTTTTTCCTTAATGGATAATTTTAAAATGAATATAGACGTTCCAAACAAGTGTGCTTGAAAATGCCACTAGTAAGATTTTTCGATTTCATGTTCGGTTTATAATATTCTCCAAAAACTTATACAAAACAGCTTTAATTGAAGGCATGTTCACGGTGTTTCATAAACAAATCATAGGAACAAAGCAAGATGATTATTCTGCTTAATCGGCAGCTCAATACCTTCCCACAAGAGTTATATCAGACTTTACAGATAATAATGATTTGAGCTTTAAAACTACACCTAATAGAATAAACTTAACAAAACGATAAGATTATGGCACTATTTCTACAAATTATAATGAATTTTTAAAAATAATACATGACATATCACAATGTATTTGGTGGCCTAAAATGAATTCACTAAAAACTATGGTGATTTGTCTAGGACATGATACAAAAGTTATAAAGTATCTCGCTACCTTAACTTATAGCAAGAGAAACTCATCATTTAATTGGACTTAAGAATTGAAATAGATCTCTATGAAATGTTATTTACGATGTTATTTCTTCAAGATCAATTCGCATATTTAATCCTTTTCTAATTCATCACGTCACGTAATTGATAATAAATTGCTATTCGATATTGATCCCTCTTTAGTCTATCCTAAAAAATCCCACATTCCAGATGTAAATTCCTCTCGTTCACTATTATAACATCGATGCGTAAATACATTCGGAACCTATTTCAACGCTTTTAGTAAACAATCACGCATCATCATATCATCCTGTCAACCGAAAGCTGCAACCATCGCCAATTATTACACTATTATACTTATTCTCACTTATGTATTATCTTAAACATAATTTCTTAGACGACACATTTAATCACAATTTCTTAATTAATATTGAAATTCATCAAAAATATCTTGTTAAGTAAAACGTGTTGTTTGCCATCATACTTACTTAGCTGTGACGAAGTAAGGAATACAAAATACGTAAATACTATAAATTGTCCTCTTATAAAAAGCAACTTGCAGAAGGCAGCGAAGTGGCGGCATTAAGAGAAGGCTTTGTAGTGAATGAAGAAGAAAATCAAAAATACCGCGTAGGCTGTGGGGAAGGTGATGCGAGCTATAACGTCGATCGTCTTCGCCACGCGGATTGGATGTGGAGGCTCTTTTTTGCGGACCTGGACGAAACATGGCTGGAAGAAATTAATTTGCCAATGAATGATGACGGCAAAACAAAAAAAAAGAAAAAGAAACAAATGCTACCGTCTTCTTCAACAGAAAGTATGTGAAAGTGAATGTCGGTGTGGGCTTTGGGGTTTAAACGATTATTATCTGAATTACTAAGAAAATCATCGTAACAAGCCGATGAGACTGAGGAGTGAAATGTTTAACTGTTTTGAAGAACTTGTCGAAGCTTGTTTGAGTGCGTGTGTGTTTTTGTATAGTGAAAAAGAGAGAAAGGGGAATCTTTACCTCGGTCACGCCGCCGTTGTTGGCAGTATGGGTGCAAGAGCCTGGTGCTCCTGTACATGTTGCACACGAGACTAAATCAGCAGCACCCGTCGATTCGCGTTTTTTGTCACCCTGTGATAACGGCTGAAGTAAAATCAACTTTTTCAAAAATTTTCAATGCCGAATTCTACATTAGTATTAATAATGCGAAAAGTATCTCTACAATGGGAGATATATGAATGGTTAATTTCATTTTGACATGTCGGCAAACAATAAATTCCTGGGACCCTCGTACTCAAACGACAATGTATAAATTTATATCAACTATCGCGGAATAACATAATGCTAATGATAATTTGATGTACTACTTACAGGCTGTGGAGATCCGAAGAGGCATTGAAATGAAAATGGAGAGTTAGTTTGTTGTGATCTCAAAATATGATGGTAATGCGGTTGGCGAATGTTTGGGACGAACTTGTCAGTTACGATCACTTACAGCACCACTAGGTTCCGGTTCGGGCGTTTCGGATTTTGCCCAATGGAGGAAAGCCATCGCCTCCTATTTAATCAAAATATCGGTATAAAATACGCGAAGCTCATGTTACAGTCATGTTATTTTTACTGTGGATTGCTGAAGCCGCATTCAGTTTCATTCGAAGCTCTATGACGTTGAAGCCACTAATGTTTAGTTTGAAGAATAAATTGGCAATGGCAGATATTTTGCATGTATTTTGGCTTTTGGATATTTGATTAATATACCAAAAAATAGGAATATACAGTAACTTTAGGTTATCGTTTAATATATGTACTTATACTTTAACTAATTTTTTTAGTCATTTGTACAGTATTACTATAAAACTAATTATTTCATCTTTTCCCCCATTGGCCCAGATTATTTCATTTCCAGATCCGCGGATTAGCATTATCCAAGATCATGTTCCTCATGATTATGAAATGTTTAGTTATAAAACATTTAGTATATAATATATTGAGTCACTTCGATTACTACTGAGTCATGTATACGTTTGTTAATTAACACTCGTAGAATATAAGTAATTGGTTCGAAGCGAAACCAGAAATGGAGCAGTTATTGATTATAGATATTGTGTCTCGATGTGAAAACCAGAGGTTATAGAAAACAATTCCTAGCTATTTCCTTATTTTATTTATATTCCTTATTATATTATTTTATTTATAAACGATAAAATGTACTTCATGTTTCATGTTAACACTTAGAAATTAGGACTAAAGATTATAATTTATCTCTTACTACAAGTCTTGAAACCATAACACTAAATAAGAAAACCTGCACCTTCTACTCTGATTCAATGTAAAGTAAACAAGAACAAGCAATGTAAGAGTATTGGATGGTAACAATTAGTGACATGCAGTTGGTGACATTTTTGTACGGAAAAATACAAATCGCTTAGATTTACTTTTATTTAAGAAGTAAATTTAGGTTGTTTACATTGGTTGCGTTAATTTTTTTGTGTGAAAAGTTGACAAGCAAGCAGGCGGTTCATTGATGTTAGATAATAACAACCCTATGGATTGCTGATGCTTTGACAACTTTTAAAATTTGAGCCCCGGTTACCTCATTTACCGGAGCAAAGGCAAAAGTTTAATACTTTCACTCCACGCCGGTCTTCTGTAAGGCAGTGGTAGCTCTCCGGACGAGCCTGCTAATTCTTGTAACAGCGGAAGCTGTTTCGTGGCCCTACTCTCCCTTCAATTATGTACACTGTTATACACATGGTTAATACGTGCATATATCCCGTAGGCTGGAAAGTCTCGTTCACGTATTATTAATAATTCATACTATGACAATGATTTTATTCTCGAATATTAATTTTGGTAAATTCAGTATATCTACATCGACATAACTATGACGGTTTCAAAACATTCTACATACTTGGTTTGCTTAAGCAACTAATAAATTTTTTCAATACATTGGGTTAAATACCGGCAGTTACGTATGCAATATCTAAAAGAACATATTTATGTAAGTCGAATTGTCTACTTTTTCAACATTTTAAGCCTTATAAATGTATTATAAGCAGATACAATTACATTTTGTAAGCTATTTAAAAATTTAAACTGAGTTAACGGTCGCAATTGTGAACGGTTTTTCGGCTTCAATGTTAATAACTACAGCATGCGAGATGCGAGTTTGTTAGATAAAGAATGTGGTCGTGCCATGACTGAATTACTGTAATCTGTTATATTTCTTCATCTTATATATATTCCTTGTCCACCAGCTCAAATGTTAAGACAGGGTTGAATCTGTATGTCCATTGAAGTATCATCTCTACTCAGTGCACTAGATATATAAAACACATTCCGACATTATATTTTATAGAAACAAAAGTATACAGAATTTTTTTTAAAAGTATTCACGCACTTATTATTAACTTATGTAAACAAGTATGGTCGTGGTGTTAGGTGTCAATCTTTAATTTTCGTAAATAAAAATACACAACACTTGTGTAGGCAAAGGTCATCATTGAAATGGTTTAAAAAAAATTGTACCTATTTTGTGGTGCAAAGATGTAGGACTCAAATATACTACGTGCCGTATAAATATATTTATTCGTATACATAAGCGTTAGTAAAGACAAAGTTCACCGATAGTACAGATTCAACTAAGCTGGTACAGCTGTTATTCCCAAGAAAATAAAATCGTCAGACAAGAAATATAACAGCGCCAAGACCGGAATGTGCCAATGAGTATGGCGAATTTTCTTACCAAAGGGCTGGCCAGTATAATGCCAATTCTGCTCAGAACTGCGGGCAGTCGCTGTGAACACATTATACAGACAACTTGTTCACTCGTGACAGATGGTCTACCGGTGCACTTTTGTGAGCACAGACTATATTGTTGTGGCCAGATATGAACAGTTTTAATAATATATAACAGACCCATCAATGATGTAGTAGTAAATTTATCGCAAAAATGTATTGGCGTGTGATCAAAATCTTTGCAATGTTTTCTCTGAAGCGTAAATATGATTAAGGAAAACATAAAAATGGCCACACCAAATAGTCTCCGATTGGTTAATGATGTGATTGATCGTTGGCGGGAATGTAATCCAAGTTGTGTTAATAAAAACGTTAAACAAAAGTGCCATGCACACTTAAAGGAGGGAAAAGGAAGAAAAACTGCATAGCATGCTATATTGTATAATAAAAAGAAAACATTGCAAAGAGTACGATTAAAAAATATTTACGAAAGGAAAATTAATAAGGAATGAATTTTTCACAACAAACAACATTTAGAGTCATCTGTTATATAATTGTGAAGATCTTAACTTAGTAACATGTATCAAAAGGAAGAAAATACATAAATAAACTTAAAATGTTTTTACAACATATTACAGGAGGGAACAGATAGCACTCTATAGTTTTGAAAATTGTTTCGAAGGTATTATAATTTAAATTGTAATTGTATTGTAAAAGCTGTGAAATAATATATGTATTGTTTGTTCAGTTGAAGAGCTGTTCAGTAGCTGTAGTGGATTTGTTTATTCCAAAGCTGATAGTGCAATGCCGAAGGACAAGTATCTATTTGTATTGAAATAGAAAATGACACAGAGATGTACGAAACAAAGACAACAACAGTTTTACCTGGGTGACAGGATTTTCGCCTGGTCGGTACACTACGTTGTGCAAAGGTCTTTTCCTCCCAACGTAGTTCACGCAGACGAACTCCAGAAGTGAAGCGTAGATGAAGCACATGCAAACTCCATCCCACACGTTCATTGCTGTCAGGTTTGATACAACAGGTAGCGTTGATCGAAAACCATTCGAGGTTGTAAAGAAGTTCAACATTGTTGTGACGCCTGCCCAGAAGAAGTAGTTATTACTATTTGTTAACTTAATTACATGAAACGCTTCATTCGATAGTTAGATACAGTTAATGTTTAACTCTCTAATTATTTTTTAATACATAAGTCCATAATAAAATTATATGGTATACTTTTTAAAAATAATATTATGTTATATTAAGTCCATACAATCTTTCTTTTCTGTTAGTCATGGAGTACATCATTCGATTCCATGCAAATAAACATCTATTAGTTAAAATACGAATTAATTGCTTTGATATTGTTATATATTAAAAGTACTTACATGTTTTCATTAGTATATAGAAATCATTTCATGCAAATTCGACAGCTATTAGATATCAATGTCACGATATATTAAATACAATAACGTGTGTAACATTAATGAAGCAGAGAAGAAAGTAAAGAAGCCAAAAATAAAACAAAAAATGTTAAGATTGTTAAATTATCAACGCTGAAAAATTACTATGAACGTTTTAAAAATTCATCACCGAAATTATGCGTTGATTTGGAATGAAATTAAGGATTACGAATTTTTAGGGTTCCAGGGTTTTAGGGTTTAAAGGTAAAAGAGAAACCCTAATAAGACCACTCTGTTGTCCGTGTGTCACCACCGATTTTCGTGGTTCTAGGTCAACGGGAACTACCATATAGGTTTTAGACCTAAAACCTATAGGGTACTTCCTGTTTACCTAGAATTGTCAATTTTGGTTAAAAGCAAGGTCTTCAGCACAAATAAAGAGAACATTACGAAAATTAAAAGAAAGTTGAAAATTAAGGTAAATTTTGGTACTTAAGTTTTCGCGAAAATCTAAATTTGCCCATATCTTATTGTCGTGTTAACTCAGAACCTCGATTTTTAATTATATATACCTTAATATCTTATATACCGACGACTATAGACCTTAATATCTTGTATAAATTTCAACTTGCTAGGTCCACCCGTTCCTGAGAAAATCGGTGGTGATTAATTAATAATTTTATTATGGCGGTGTAATGGGTAGGTACGGAACCCTCGGCGTACGAGTTCAACTCGCACTTGACCGGTTTTTTAATGGATGCTTTCCGGGTAATGGTTCAAAAATAAAATAAATTCGCAACAAAATTATACACCAACCTATCATTACTCTAGCGGGCACTGCATTCCATTCCAGCCAAAAAGTAATAAAGGATGACGTCACCAAAATGATCCCCGGAATGAAAACTGTGGTGAAGTAAAATGATCTATCTCGCGTGAAGATGAGATCCACTCTCAGACAGCTGTAATTACCTAAAAAATTAAGCATTATCTAAACAATATGTGTACATTGAATTAAACTACAATGTGTATGACAATTGGTAATAAGAAGTAATTGTACCCTAACGGTTAAGCGGAGGTAACCTGCAAAAGGAAAACATTTAGCGTGTTATATTCACAGCCCCAGCCACATCTACAGAGAGATAAGAGATTGAGAAAAGATGCAACTTGCAAGACCCAGAACGTTTTCATTGCCAGCCATTTTACCTATCATGGAACGTGCTGGCACAGCATTCCATTCCAGCCAGAATGTGATGAATGAGGAAGTCACCAGAATAATTCCAGGAATAAATACTGTGGTAAAGTAGAACGCTCGGTCTCGTGTAAAAATTAAATCCACCTTTAGACAGCTGTAGTTACCTGTGGAGTTATAATGTTATCAAAAGTTTGAAATAGGGCCAGCCTTGCTGCAAACGACTATTATTCTAAGTAAAAATTTTAAATGTATAAAAAATAAATTTGTAACGCAATTTTAATATGGACTAATTCTAAATAACTCCGTTCAGCGGCCTTGTCAAACGGTTAGTTATTGCTATTTACAACTACTACACAAAAACTAATATATCAAATAACCAACATTCCGTATGTAAGAGTAACGCGTGTTGTGTTTTTCCATATTTTTGAGCGCATACTCCTATGTGTCAATCTTGGTTTATATTAAACAAATAGACGAACTATACCACGTGCAATGACACAATATCGTGCATATAAACTGCTAACACAGATGACAGTTTGTTGAGAAATAAATTTTAATGTTTATGATTGCGAATAATGGAACACACACTGGTACAATACTGAAGTATAATCTTTTTGCCAGTTTCATCGAACGCCATATTATTTTAATGTCACACAACAGCGCATTTACTCACACATAAGCGGTGGAGAAATTATTTTTTTAAACTTCCACATCGAACTCAACGGGTTATCCGATGCTGTAAAAGTACCTTGCTCCTCAAAGCGTCTCTGGCAAAGATTACATGTCAGCTCTTCATCGTCCTCGTAAAGTGAAATACCGTCAGCTGCTTGCAAAGACGTTAACAGATTCTTACATTCTATTCTACATCAATATCTTTTTTTAACAATTAAATAGCAACAAGACACTAGTACTAGTGAGAATGTTTCTATGATAAAGTTGCTAACATGCGGATGAAAGGTCGAGACACTAACGACTCTCTTAGCTGTTCTTTTTATAAACACTCAATGGTGAAGCCGCTAAACAATCGAAAATATTCAACAACTAATTATCAAGTGACTAATGAAACAAATAATCAATTCAAACGAATTAACCTGTGACACAAATCAAGACCAAGCTGAAAAGAGTTAATCAGAATGTCTAGAGTAACAGAGTATCCCCTTTTTCTCCTTCCTTGTGCAAAGTATGAGTGTGCTTTAACAAAAGAAAAGTTATGGGATGAATATTCTAAGTTACTCTGATTGAAAAAAATTCAAACAAAACTCGAAGATGTTGTGTAAGCAACGGCTGCTGTTGTAGAAAATAAAGAAAATAGACTTTTACCTCTCCAGCTCGCCTTTATAGGACAGGGTATGGTTTGGTTCTGGATGAGGTATGCGTTAAGAGTTGTTAAAGATGGAGATTTTCGAAGGGTATCTTCGTCATTCTTCCATACGTAAGTAATGGCGGACTGCTCGTACGATACTGGAATTAGAGGAAAAACTATGAAGTGACTTAATAAGTAAAGTGGTTAATATATAAATACCTTACAATGTGTTATTTTGATTCTTGTAGCAATAAATATTTAAAGAAATAATTAATAAATGACTAAATCTATAATTCCAGTGTTCATACACTCAACCAAAATTAAAATTTTGTAGACAAGGTGATAAGCTTGTTGAACAATTATGTCAAACAAAAAACACAGACGTATGTGATAAAGGTTAATTTAAAAAAGAACATGTTTAGATGTTGTAATTGATTTTAGATATCGTATGAAAGTCATCAATTCCGGAAGAGTACGTACATTACGTACATGCTATAATAATTCATGGTTTTTCAGATGTGGTAACAGTCAACTAATTTTCACTATTGCAGTCAACTAATTTTCACTAATGAAACACGTCAAGGTAACAACTCTGTAACTAACCGCTAGTTGTTTCAATTCTACTTTTTATTACTAAATTTTATCATTTATGTAAACATTTATTGAGAAGTATCATAACTTAAATGAAAATATTTACTCACTACTTTCTAAAGCAAATGAACACAATGGGTCGTCAAATGGGAATATGTTGAGCCGCCCCTGACAGGACAAGATAAGATGTCGTCGCATTAAATAGTTGATGGTGCCATTGCGATAAATGCGCAATGCAAAGTGCATTGGTATTATTGGATCCTGAAAATAAACACTAAGATGACACAGACAATCGTTCATGATTTACATTTCGAGTCCAATTACAAGCTATAACATTTAAAACTACATTTATTGAACGTTTAAATGACATTTAAGTTGTTTAAACTATTTTATTACACATACTTTTCATTACAGAAATTGGTTAAAAACTAACCTTAAAGTCGCCGTGCATTATAAAGTATGTATCAGGCAGCCAGATGTCCTCGTGGTGGTGTATGGCGTTTAGGAAGTCGTAGTGGGACTGATTGGAATAGCGTAATCGGGGATCATACCACTGTTGTTGTAAGAGAAACTCCACTTCGTATTTCTGGAAGTGTAATTGACAAGTAATAAATGAAAAAAAAAAAAAAATGGATTTGTACTAACAAATAGCAACCGCCAAAGTTTTCACCGCTTCCGAGATTCGAACCTGCGCGTTCCAGTTTAAGCGTCCAGACGCCCTAGCCACTAAACTAAACGGTCGCCATCCTCGAGAGAAATTCTCTACGTTATATCTACTTTTTATTGCATTATTTCAATGCTGGGCGTGACCGTGTGCTTCTTTAACAGAAAACACACTAGAATTTAAATTAAACGTAAAATTTAAATAGAAATCTAAGATAAGTTCTCAACTGATTAACTTCTATGTGTTATAATTAATCGATGGGTGGCGGTTAGATTACACTTTTCGATAAGTTAAGGCACCGGACATTAGATGGAGATTAGAGTACTAACTCTTTGGTGATCACTTATGACGTGATTCGTTCTTCCATATAGATGAAGCTAAGCAACGGTTATAAGAAGGATACATATCTACAATTAAATCACTTACAAGACTAGATTCATCTGGCGATGCTAAACTAAGCAGCAACACGCTGACGTTTACGGTGAGAACACCTGGAAACGAATTAAGTATATTCAGTAAAGATAAAATTAAAAAAAAAAAACAAATATAAACATAAAATACATATGTTTATATTAGTTTTTTATTATTTTGCTTTCAAGTTCTGGAAGGAGGAATACAAACTCAACAGAAGATTGAAAGAAAAGTTTGATTGAGAGAAAAATATATTAATGCAGTTTTTTTATACATGCATGTTGGCCAAAACTTTTCATACCATTTTGCACATTGAAACTTTCTATGTAATGTTTATGAAAACATTATATGCAATTATATAGGTACATTTTTAACATTTAAATATGTTCTAACGTACTAGAACAATTATTTGAACAACATTTAAAAAAATACGCGCAATTATCTTTATTTCAATCAATTAAAACATTGTGTATTTTGTTTATGAAAAGAGAAAAACAATTATGTAATGAAGCGTTTCGATAACAAACTTAGAAAATTTCATAATTAATAAATATATTTATAAAATTTCATAATTAGGGCCTAATATTTTTTGGAAAAATTTCGCTGCTTCACTTGTAATAAGCTTTTAAACAGAACCGAAGGAGAAAATAAAATAAAATGTGTCGCATCTACAAACAACATCGAGACAGGTGCTGACATAAAAATACATATAAGTGATCGTGGTGTATGAATAAATTATTCCATGAAACTTAGTAACTATCTACAGTTGCTATAAGACATATTATAGATTGGATTCCCGTGCATCAAAAGTTGCAGTGAACGTATAGTTCTATAAGAATTTATATATATACGTAAGAATTTCTCTTTTCAGAAACATAAAACACAACACACCGCGATTGTGCGAGCGCGGCCGGAGCGATGACAGCCCGACCTTATCAGTGGTCAGGCTGTCGTTGGGCGAGGTTAAGCCACAACAAAAGTCTGGATCTGCAAAGGTACACCCCGACTTTATATTTTTCTGCAGGCTAAACTAGAATTTCACGGAAATTTCGAGATCGCAACAATCTAATTTGAAAACTATTTCCGCTGCATTTATTCAGTCGTGTTATTCCAGACACTCTTAGCAGATGATAATTATTTTAATGATTACGGATGAATAGAAACTTAAATATCATACTAAATGATATTTACCGTCAACTGGAGGAAGCAGCCTTTTGTCATAGCGGGAGTTTTTCAGAAGATTGTCCAATATCTCTTTGTCCGACTTTCCCGCTGCGAAACTGTAATTATAATGTGATAATTTTTATTAGGCCTTCACAATATTCCTCGTTAAAGTAACGTTTTAGTTCCCACACTGTACACATAATGTATGTTACATTCGCGTTAGTTTCAGGTACACAAATGCCAAAACAACCCGTTTTTTATAAAAGAAAAGGAATTTACCACTAATTGAAAGACATTGTTAAATGTTGTAACTTAGCAATTTAATCACTGTTTAAAATATCACAACAATATACTTATAAGAAATATTTATAAATAGAACAATATTAATAATATAATAATCTTTAAAAATTTGTTTATGACTATTTATTATTATTCAATCCATGTTGATTTTGGGATATTTTTATTTGTAATAGCTTTTTTGACTTATGATGAAAATGGTTTGATTCAATGGTTACATATTCATCAAAGACGTTCTTTAAGACCATGGACCAAGACAGCATAAATAAATAGTGATTGAAATTGGGATCCCGTATGAGACAGGATAAATCGCAACAGACAACGTCCGTGTCGCTGTTTGGATGCAGTGTTAAAGTCAAAAGAAGCTGCTTGTGGGTAAAGGACGTGTGCAAACAACGCTCATCACAGTTTCTTGGGAACTAATACAACTATTACTAGAGAGTTTTACTGCGAGGAATTGAAAATAATGTTGTATGAAAGATTAAAAGTTAACTACGGGTTTCCATCCAAGGTTTGGGGCTAAGATTTATCTAAAAATCTTGTTAAATACGATCTTACGAATATTAAATTATTGAAAACTACCATAGCGTGGTTTAGCAATTCTTCTAATAATATGTTAGAAATAAAGTAACTATCCGAAGTGAATAATCATGTAAAAAAATTATAAAAAACTAGTTGCCTCGGCAAAAGTTTTGCCATATAAATTATTTCTAGGGAATTTGTCAGTCTGAACACATAGAAAAAGAATTTTCGGAACGCACGCATAAAGTGTTTGACAGGTTACACAGACGTAGTTGACACGATGACAGGTACAGTTTGTATGGAAAAATAAAATTTTTGACTTTTATTTTCCATGCAATTTTTCCATAATTTCTCTTCGTTTAAACCTTCCCTTGACCGCCACAAAAATTAGTCAAATCGGTCCATCCGTTCTCGAGTTTTAGCGAGACTAACGAACAGCAGTTCATTTTTATGTGTATAGATGTCCGTTAGAAGTGATTTACTTATAAAAATCTACTTAAAGATGTCTTGAGTGTTGTCGGAACGAATCAAAAATAGATAGAGAAGCTATGAAATGACAGTAGCAATGCAAAATGAGTGTTCCTTGTATGTTTGCCAACTGTATATCAGGCATGAAAAAGAGGTCATGTACTTCTTATACAAATTATATCTACAAATACTATTAGCACTAACAAGATGAAGTAATTGATTATATAATTACGACAAAACGCTAAATTTTACAATGTAAGAGCTTTTAAAATTGAAAACGTAACTAATTTAACCTAATACTTATTTCCTTTTAACAGTCCTGAATAGTTACAAACGTGATGGTTTTTACTTGGTTTTGGTGCGCCAAATTTTGTGTTTGATTTTGAGAAGAAAATAACAGTTTTCTGGTCTTAAGCTGAATTTTTTAATTATTAAAATTCTTTTTATAAAAAAATGCTAAATATATTAATTACACTTTTACCTCGGTGATTGAGTCCTGATTGAATATCTCAGTTCGACTGTTCTATATAACGTACAACTATTCGGTACAACTGTCCTAAATAGTTACAAACGTGATGGTCTATTAATGGAGTGAGGAACTTCACGCCCCAACGACGCTCCCGTGAGGCTAGCGTGTTATGTCCGCTTCGCCACCCATCAGCCCTTCCACGCTTCACTCGTCATTACATCTCGTTTGCCGTAAATACAATATTCCGTCCCTACTTGCTTAGTTTCGTAGAAGTGTGGAATAAGCATTTCGTGTATATGAATCACGAATACTGTGTCGTGTAATAATTAAATTGGTTAAGGCTTCGCTGCTTTTAGCTGTAGGTGCTATTCTGAATATTCCTCGCAGTATAATGATTGCACATATATAGCGGAAGGGCCAGGTATAGAGAATCCATAGAAATGTGTAAGACAAGATAGAAAATGGAATATTCGTAATGTCACCATATTCTAACGGACGGCCTTCTGCAGTATGTCTTCTACTCTTGCTTTGGGGTAATTATGATATTTTTGAATACTTCTTAGACAGCGGTTCAATAATCGGACCAGAAAAGAAAGTGAAATTTAAAGTACGCGTCACGCTAAACATCGTATGTTTCGTTACATGAGAGAGAATAGAGAAAGGGCGAGGGAGAGAGAGAGAGAGAGAGAGAGAGAGAGAGAGAGAGAAATAGAGAGAGAGGGAGATTGCGACGTATGCAAAGCAATAGAATAAAATAATGTCGAGCATGCGCGTGTTGTAGATGGACGCATTATGTAATTCATATATATTCACGTAGTGTTTTGTGACTTTTTAGTTTTTAAAGAAGCACCTTCATCGCAACACATTACACGAGAAATTTTCATTAATAATCATTTTGAAATTATGAGGTACAAAAATTCCGCTCCCAAATGTAGGAAGCCTTAAAGCCTTATCTTATGACAAGTGCTTATCCTTCTCTGCCTACCTCGTTTTAACAAAGAGTTCAGTGCTTGTATCGTGTTACGCTTCGATGAAACGGATCTGTACTTACCAGTAACGTTTCGTAATCGATTATGGTTTTAATATAGGTTAGGTTTTTTATGGAACTTCAGCATCAGTCATATATCAACTTACATGTCGGACGTGAGTGCAGACACAGTGGATGCACCGCTGAGCATAAGGACGAAGACCAAGACGCGTGCCACCACGCATGTCCAACCCATATTAGGACATCTGGAAGACAGAAAAATTCATCTTCGATTACTTCCGTTTTAAAACTTAATGTTTCTAGTTTACTGATTTATTTCAAAAATGATAGATTCCTGTATTAATTTAATGTTTCTGTAATTAATTATCACATCAATAAACATAATTTTATCATGCTAACAATTTAAATATACTAATACACAGAATTTTGACCATTCCGTACGAGCAAAACACGGATTTCTAATAATCTTCCCAATATGAGTCACAGAAGTTAAAAAACATTTAGTGTCAATCAATTATAGATATAGATTTGAATACCGGTTACTTTTGGTGTAAACTTTTCACTAAGCTTCAGCCACGTTGAAAGTTTACATCGCTTTTCACTTATCGGTACTTAACTGATAAAGTGAAGCATTTATATGTTTCACTGCTGGGCAAAAGCCTCCTCTGTACAGTGTTTATTAGGGCATAGTCCACATAGAAAACATAATTCCTCCGCAGATTGGCAGACGTCACATATAATCAAATTTTTTTTTGAATTACTATTTCGAAAGTATGCTGGTTTTCTCACGATCTTTTCCTTCAACATTTAATACGTGGTACTCAATGGTGAAGAAAAAGATCATGCAGAATAAAGTCAAAGTAGCAGTAGTCAAGTCTGCATTTTAAATTGCAATTAACAATTTTGTTGGTGCCAGCACGGGGATTTGAACTCGGGTTGCAAAAGTGCATTGAATTAAAAGTGAGCGCTCGGACATTAGAGCTATCAAGGTGAAGACTAAAAGTATATTTCTCGTATTCCAGGAGCCTAAAAAGTGAAGAGAAATGTAGAAGTTAAAATGTAAAGTGGCGCATTTTCCCAACCCAAAGACAATTAAAACGAAATAGCTCTTTATCAACTTAATCAAGATTTATTTAATATATGTTATCGATAAAAATTAACTTAAACATATAGAAATTATGTAATGGAAGTAACTTAACGTATTATATTACGTCGGGGAAAAACTCTTTGCTAATAGTATGTATGTACTTATAATATAATCTCTTTGGCTATACCATTTTTATCTGTCTGGTTTTGGTATCATTAAAAAGTTTAAATTTTTAAAAAGATAACTCCACATTCAAATTAGGAAATTATAAAAGCAAGCTAATTAAAGCAAGAAGTCGAGAGAAAGTGGCGGAAATTAATCAACAGAAGGGGTATGGTTTTTCGTCATGATAACGCTTGACCTCACACATCTTTAGCCACTCAAAAATTAAGAGAATTTGACTGGGAGGTGTTAATGCATCCGTCGTATAGTCCTGACCTTGCACGTTCAGATTTCCACTTGTTTCGGTCTCTTCAGAATTCTTTAGGCAAAGTCAGGTTAACATCACGAGAGGACTGCCAAAACCACTTGTCGCAGATTTTTGATCAGAAGCCCCAGAAATTCTATATCAATGGGATCTGGGACTTATAAGATGGCAGAATGTTATCGAACAAAATGGCACCTACATACCTTAGTTAAATGTAAAATAAACTTTATTAAAAAATGTTTTGAATTTTCATATAAAATACGAAGAAACTTTTTACCCAACTTATTAGTATGGAAATAATTAACAAAGCTGAAAACAGTAAGTATATAAAGTTCTATATTCTCAAACTGAACACGTTATACGTGTGGCGCAAGAAAAGTTTCACGAAAAAAAAATACTATTAAAGGTCAATTTATGGTTTCTCAAAATATTTTCCCTTTGCGTAAACGCACTTTTTCATACGATTAAACCAATTTTGAAAGCATTAGTGCCACTCCTTTGTGATGAATTCATAAACGTGTTTTTCATACCCTTCGACAGCCTCTTCTGGTGATGAAAATCGTTGATCGCGTAATTGGTTTCTAATTTTTGGGAACAGAAAAAAGTCAAAAGGTGCCAGATCGGGACTGTGTCATAAGTTTTACGTTTTACACCTTCAGAAATTCGTTTGTCTGTCTGGCTGTGTGGGAACTTAGCTTTCTCGTGGTGACGTTTCCGGTTATTTTTACGCAGTTCGTCAATAACTTCCGGCAAAAAAATGTCAGTCACACACAGTCACTAGTTAATAGTGACTGTGTGTGACTATTCGATCAGTATGACGATTCTCTACAGCAACAGTTGCCACGTGACCAGTTTTATAAAAACGAAGCAATCATCCGATTAGATGCACTTTTCACGCGCGCCGCTTTGGTGGTTTCGGCTCATCTTAAAAGACATACGCATACGCTCGATTGCTGCTTTGTTTTGAGATCGTAGACAATAAATCCATGTTTCACCAGCTGTTACTATATCCCACTCAATGAGCCTCGGTCGAATTGTGTGGGATCCATCGCGAGCATAGCTTTCTCATACCCAAATGTTTGTATAGGATTGATTGTTTGACTCATGCCTATGTCTAAGGATGCCCGAATTTCATGGACCTACCATACCTGTTTGTGTCGATTATGAGGCGCACAGAATCGATGTTTTTGTTCTTCAGCGGTGGACGGGCAACCATCGCGAAATTCATTACTGAGATCTACACGACCGCGTTTGAATTCCGCAAACCAGCTAAATAGTTTGGCGCGGTGCTTTATCACCAAAATAAATTGAAGCCGAGCGAGGCTCTGCCGAACTGTCAAATTACACGTAAAATCGTAGAAAAATATACTACGAATATTTTCCAGAGTAAAATCAATGTTAATGTCGTACGTAGTGGTTATATTTTCTTTGGTAAATGTAGACACGCAATTTTTAAAATGGCGCCAAAATGTAAAAACAATTGACAGTCAGATGAAACAAAATGCATTCTACAGTCAAAGGGCAAAAATTTACAAATGTTTTAATTACTTTTTAAATATTGTTTATGTAAGTGGTCAGTTCCGGAAACTTTTAGTGTGACCTATGTAGAAAGAAAACAAGAAAATATTTTTATAATAGATATTTAAATGACTTTCCAAGCTTAGGGGTATATTAGCATGTTTTACATGAATTGCATAATTTTCAATAATTGCAAAATAGCATCCTAGCCAAAAGGCAATGGAAAGCAGAACATGTGTACATAGCGTGATGCGAGGCCGACTTTCAATAAAATATTTTTGCCTTACAAATACGTGGCCTAGTTTTTAAATATATGATGCCAATGTAATTGTATGACGTCAATTAAGTTTATAGCTGGGGCTGTACCAGAGTCTACAAGAGTTTTCTTTGTTTAGTTTCAAGAAACATATTACTATTTGTTATAATTTTATTGACTAAATGTGCTCTGTGTTTACAGTATTACATGACATTCAATGTAATACTGTAAACACAGAGCTTAAATAATTTTGACGTAAGACATAAAAAATGTAATTAATTTTTTCTATACGTATCCGACTCACACTTGGTCGGTATTTTTAACTTTATAAACTATCAATGATCATTTTACAGACGATACTATATAGTTAACTATAGTTTCATCCAATTTAACTGTAGCTATTATCCAGCGTGTCTTTACCACCGCGACAATAAATGAACACACACTACTTGCCAATAATCATATAAAAAAAATTAACGTTAAAAAAAATCCATAATTAAAAAAAGATATTTTTCAAACAAACTAATTAAGTAAAAAAAAAAACAAAATTTGTAACGTTCTATACAACTACAACTGACTGATTCATACATTCAGAGACTTTTTCATTCGTTGCCACAGCGATGCATTACAAGCCTCTCCTAACAGTATGTTTTCTTTTAAATTCATTCAACCCATTCATACGCTTTGTGACCTTTACAAATGAACTTTGCATTAAAGTTGGATGTTCTAAAATTCTTTGTTTTGGAAAATTTGATAACTCGATAAATATTGATGTTTAAAGAATGTAAATCTTTAATACAATTTTAAAAAGTTATCCTCTATATGTGTGTTCATTTACTGTCGCGATGGTTAAGACACGCTGTATAGCATTTTATCGCACAAATCTTTAATGTTGTTCTTTAAGTTGATAAAACTTTTTTATTTATGAACCGATTTAAACAAAACTAACACTAAATGTTAAGTAAAGCTTACTATAATGCATTAGTGAATAATATTTTTAGTCAAATATCTTACATGTACAGACAATGATCGTTTAGATTTTTATTATAAGTAGTATAGATTATAAATTACGTTTCGCGAATTTAATTTCTTAAAACTTCAACCATTCATATGTATAGGTACGTTCAAATTAAGTTTTGATAAAGCTCTCTGGTTCGACGGGTCAATTCGCATGCGGCCGTCTCTGGGGACGCAGCCGGGTTGAACCACTTTATCAAGTTTAACAATTGACTAGAAACTTGCTGAGCAGCGATGAAATTGAATTTTGTATTATTATTTGTGTAGGCTGTACAATGCCGAATTAAGGCAGAGCGGGGCTCGTAGCAAATGTGCACAAGGGAGCCATTGATTTGCTTTAAGAAAGATTTTCGTAGTTTTTCTGACCTATAGAGATAAAATCATCTTTGATGTTCATTTAAAGTAATACATTTAGACTTTCTCGTCATTTAATGTTCTGAACACGTTGTTATTATAATCATTAATACCCTCTAAGATGGGAGAATTACTATCTTATAATTAGTGATCATCAAACCCTTTTTTTAACTTAATTCGAAATGACGCATCTCGGATTTTGTTTCCAATGTCAATTTAAAACGTATATTTAATTTTAGCATTCAATTTGAAAGGCAAAAATTATAACCAAAAATCTCGATTTTTCCTTCTTACTGATCGATTAGAAAGATAGAAGTACATGTTAATCCAAAAAATTAAAATAAATTTACTTGACGCAATTAGCATCTCTTGTTGTTACCAGAATGTCTCTTTCCTTTATTTGCAGTGATATGTATACATTCAGAACAATAAATAAAATTATTGAATAAATCAAGGCCTGGCTTGGCAACTTGGTATCCGGCTGGTGTGCGGCGGTAGACACACATCTCATTATCCACTTAAAAAAAAAAGGGTCTCACTGTAATTTACAGCAAGTAAGATAAAATATTAAGTAAATAATAGAAAATTTTATTTAGGATTTTGATAAGTTTCATACATCGTAATCAAGTAATTATATGTTTGATTTGTAATATTTAGGGTTTGTTTAATATTAATGTGAAATAATCCTTAAAATCATCGGTTACCATTTGACAATTATTTTATGGTACAAATATGCGCCTACTCATGTTTTCATTATGATTCCCACAAGAATCAAGTATTCGTATTATCGACCAGTCCCAGAACTGGGTTAACCAAGTTTACGGTACGGTAATGTGAGATAAATGAGACACAATAAAAATAAGTGAAATGATTAATGTTATTCGTTAGAATTACCTTTCTGCTGACTGCAGATATTATTCGGCATGTGGAGAGATAATTAACTCGCCGACGTCCTCAGCGTTCGTCGCCGCAACATGTCGTAGCAGAATCCTGTAAATTCAAGAGTTACATTTTACTATTTACAAATAAACGTCGTCCGCGAAACGTTCTCATCGACCCGGTCAAGGAAGGGGTCGGAAGTACCGTCGGACGCACCGTCGGGGTCCTGCTAGATAATACTACATACATAGTTAGTGCAACCACAAACACCATAGTTTGTCGTCGCATTAGAGCACGATATAACCAGTGCAACTCGTACACTAACTATGTACACCCGCGTTTTAGGCCGCCCCCAGCTATCGATTAACACAGCACGGTCAACGGTCATCGTGGTCACTGTCCGCACCGAACCTTAATAGCCCGTAGGGGACAATCCTTAGTTAATGCACGCATGAGAACATGCACAGCGCTACCTACTGTGGAGGGCCTCATACCTGTGGAATCTGGCTAGCCCACGGGTTCTGAAATTGATATAAGAGAAGAGATATAACCTATGATGTTTTTGATATAAGAAGTACAATATGCTTGGGATGTGGTATGTTTAACTGAATACACTTAACATTTTATTTACTAATTCTTGTTTACGACTGACCATCTTTTTTGAGTCCAAACAGATCACTCAGTTTAATCATTCTAAGCGCAAGATCGTTTTACTTTTGATGCATAACGTTTTATGCTACCTTATTATTCGCTTTTCGCTAGGGTTCCGATAGATAAGTAATAGTCTTATGAAGCCCAAGAGATCCTTAATTTTTATTGTATTATTATGAGATTTGATATATATTTTACAAAATTAAATCGACAATACATACAACGGAGAGTAACTGGTTTCCTTCGCCCAGATTCCCAGGCAAAATAAAAGGAGTAGTAGATATTCACCTTCCCCTGCACAGAATAGGGAAGGTCATGAATTACATGTTTATTTTTTGCGGAAGCATTGTTCGTATGATAGTAGACAATAATTAATATTTTATTATCACTACATAGTATAAAACAAAGCCATCCCGCTGGCTGTCCCTATGTGTGCTTAGATCTTTAAAACTACGCAACAGATCTCGATGCGGTATTTTTTTAATTGATAGAGTGATTCTAGAGAAAGGTTTATATGGATAATACATATAACCCGTGCGAAGCCGGGGCGGGCCGCTAGTGACTCTATATAGTATATAGTCATTTTATGTTAAAAATATTGAAAACCTATTAATAAAAATCTCAGTCACATTTTGTGACAAACGTGTTGCCTAATATTAAACAGTTGCTTTTTTTTTTTACGCAAATTTTCTGCAAACACGTTCAGTACGTTTTAGAAACGTACGTCAGAAGAAAATAACTTTGAAAAAAAGAAAGCCCAGTTACTTCTGTTGTTATGAAAGGCGTTTGTATCTGGTAAAACAAAGGTTGTGGTTGGTTAGTACTCTTGCCTAAAGACGATTATGCTAATGCAGGGATTGTTTGGAAATCTCGGGTAAATTGTTCTCATTTTAAGAACAATAACTTTAATAAACGGGGTATGAATGTTATAATGGCTCTATTTTTTGACGTGAAGTTTGTTTAATAACAGCAAATCATTTTGGATATTATAAAAGACGTAAGAATACAATAAATTAATAATTCAATTTCTCAAAAAATCACTTCTCTCTATCACATGTATGCAGACGATCTCCAAGTGTACACACAGTCAACTCTTGAAGACTTGCCTACTGCTGTTTCCGCCATCAATGATGACCTGACCGCTGTCAGTGAATGGAGTAAAATCTATGTTAACCCTACTAAGTCCCAGGCTATTATTGTTGGTGGTGTTGGTTTGATTTCCAGAGTTGACTGGAATACCGTACTGCACCACTGTGAAAAATCTTGGTGTCCAATTTGACAATTCCCTCTCGTGGTCGGAACAATTGAATCAAGTGAGCCGAAAAACATTTGCTGCGATGGGTTCTCTCCGTCGTTTACGTTCTTTTCTTCCCATTCCAACTAAAATTATGCTAGCACAATCCTTACTCCTGTCCATTCTCGATTATGCTGATGCAAGCTATCTTGATTTAACCGAAGAACAACTAAATAAACTTGAGCGTATTCAAAATTTAGCCATTAGGTTCATATTTGGTTTACGCAAATATGATCACGTTTCCGAATTTCGTTCAATGCTCAAGTGGTTACCCATTCGTTTTCGCCGGAATCTACACACTGTCTCTCTTCTGTACTGTGTATTATTTAACCCTAGCTATTTAAAGGAACACTTTAAGTTTCTTGGCCATAACCATCCAGAACGAGTTCTGCGATCAGCTGAAGATCTAATTCTAGCACCACATGCGTACAAAACTAAATATTATAAGAACTCCTTTACAGTTAAGGCCATCTGCTTGTGGAATGAACTTCCTCAGCAAATTCGTCGTTTGAAGACAAAGAGTTTTTAATGGCAATATTCAGATTTAATTCTTCTCTCGTGTATTTATTTATATATATTATATATTTATTTATGTTTATGTATGTTTATTATAATTTTGTTTATCTTACCGCCTTATTGTACCTAGCTTTTAAGACTTATTTCATACTAATTGTATCAAATTCTTTGTGGTGTACAATAAAGTATATAATAATAATAATAATAATAATTATAAACCCAACCAGACGAGAAAACAAATGAATACCCCCCCAATAATAATAATTAAAAATTATTTTACTTTTTATTCAAATTATGTTTTGAGTTGGCGGTGGTTTGAAGAAGAGAAACGGAAAAAGTTTTAAATAATCACAGCGAACTTTTAGCTATATATGGTGTATCCTGGTGAATCCATTTTGGCTTCAATTTCGCGAAGGACTGGAGTTATGTTTAACTAAAAAGGCAGGAATTGTCTGTGGTATATATGGTATGTATATATATATCTGGTGGTTTAGCCGTAATATGCTCTAAAGTCCAATAGTATGCACTTTATGCTCTAAATCCAAAGTTCAGCGTATAATTGTTTCAGTACTTAGGCTATAGTTCTTGAGTTAATGAGCTAAGTGTTGGTAAAAATCGGAAGTCGACGGAAAGATCAAACACGATGCGGAATGGACTGCATTGGCTGGAACAGCAAAATTATTTTTTAACGATCTTGATTTTCTTTGACGTACATACACTGCTTCATCGACCCGGCTTTTTCGTATTCATGCATTAAACGATAGATCGCAGGGCACACACTAATGCTATAAATACGCATCGTACGGAACGTTAGGCGAACAGTGCACTGATTTTGAAAATGTATTTTCATAAATTCGGCGGATTGTGGAAGAGACAGTGGTGATTTTTTTTTTGGGCTTGATGAGCCACTTTTGGCCTTAGGAGCCTTTACAGTTTCGGCGGACTTGAGCCTTTACAGTGAGGCCGGGCGCACGAGGCGCCTAGCCTGAACCTCGGTGTATTATTATTACGCGTTATGGTAACTAAGCTCGAGGGCTCCTGAGGGAGCCTCAGCTCGGGCGGTCACGCTATTATTATCATTACCGGTTTTGGAGGCCACCAAGCTCTTAGGGCGCTTTGGTTGACGCTCCACGGAGTGACCATGCTCAAGGGCCCCCGAGAGGGGACCTCGGCTTGAGCTGTCACTCAATACCCGTTTAGCATTCCGATTCGAGGGTGCCCGAGAGGGCCAGACCTCGGCTCGATCGGTAGCTATTATCTGACTGGGAGAGTTTCTAGATCTATCATTACTACCACTTCGGAAAGCGTTGGCGCTGGGAGAAGAAGTGGCGGAAGAAACTCGAGCAACGCTTCTATCATTAACGAGGGAAAGCCTGCCAGGTACGTGGTGGAACCTAGTATATGTTTGCCGCACTCGCCGGCAAGTGCGGTGTGATCTGATGTGTTTGCGTAATTGTTTTATGTTGTCGATGGCGATAGTCGTCTCATCGTCAGAGAAATCGAGTACGTGTCGTGGTCTGCGTCATTGGCGACGGCACGAACCTAGCGGTAGGTGTTTGTAGGTGACGACACCTACAACTAACGGATTGGGATGCGCGGCGGCGGATTCCAAGAAGCGGCGCGACGCCGACTTCAGGAATTGAGCCATGGTTGGCAGCTCTAAATCTACATGTAAGTCGATGTTCCACATGAACCCAGGGGGTCCCGTAGCTCTGTTCAAAAATCGATTCTGGATGACCTGAAGCCGATGTATTTGCCTCGGGGCAATGTGCGCAAAGACCGGACTCGCGTATGTCATGATGGGGCGAACTACTGCCTTATATAAAGTCACCTTATTCCGAAGGGACATTTTTGAAGTTTTATTTAAAAGGGGATACAGGCGACCTAGTACGAAGGCCGCCCGGTTCCTGACCCCAGTCACGTGCTGTCTAAATTTGAGTTTAGAGTCCAGGACGACACCTAAGTATTTGACTTTATTTACCCATGGAACCGGACTATCCATGAGTTTTACGGGTGGAGGATTAGGCGCATTCTTGTGAGAGAAGTAGACGGCTGCGCTTTTAGCGGGATTGATCTCGATCCTCCCTCCAAAGCCGGAACCAATCACTGATGGTGATGGCCGCGGCCTGAAGGCGTCAATGGATTTGGTGTTAGGCCTGACGTATAAAGACAGGTTTCGACAGAAGTTCTACAGTTCAACAGCTTTGACACGCGACATGTCGTTAGTGTAGAGTGTGAACAGGACTGGGACAGTGGTGAAATGTCAAGACAAATAAGGATCCGTATCAAATTTGACAGTTTGTCAGTAGTTTTACCAGTATGGCCGCTATACGCAGTTAATCTTCGAGCGTCCATACTGAAAAATAGATAGTGATATGTGCAAACACGTTTCAGGTATAATACATTTAGAAAAAAAGCATTTCAATCAATTTAGCATTTCAAGCAAATTCTTGCTGCATCTATTGTTATATCCTTTCCAGCATACAAACAATTTCGAATATCGTTTTACAAAGCTTTTTCTACAAGTTTTAATGTTTAATCTTAAGTGCAGAGATTAGCACTATAAAAAACTTTAAATTTCTAAAAAGCAATGGCGACATCTCTCGTTCGAAGTTATCGTTTAAAGCCATAGGATTTAGAACGCATTAGTATATAAAAACATAAGTTTAAAGGTATAAGAAAACGTGCGTTTGTGCCACGTTTAATAAAAAGCAGTAAGATTTATGTACGGCGATTCAGACATAAAGAGTTTCCTGCTGTGTCGAGCTCCATTATTTTACCACGCCCGAGGCATTACTGTAGGTACAACAAAAAAAAACAAAGAAAAATTTTGTCTATGAAATATTATTATAAATTTATATTATTTTAGTTACGCTTCATGGTAATACTATTTAAATTTCGTTACATATCAAAAACTTTTGAGATTTTATAAAAAACACTGGTCCCTATTGATAATAGCGAATAGGTATACATAATAATATACACTTTTGCTTCCACCATGAAATAACTGAAAATGAGTGTTTGAAAACTGTTATTTCGTGTTAAACATCTGATCAGGTTACCTGTTTTGAAAAGAAGAAAAAACACATGTATACATAGTCTTTACATAGTCTATCTACATTTATAGGACATATTGTTGGAAGTTTTTTGTGTGACCGGCACGAAATATCTTTTCAAAAATGCTGACAGCATTT